GGGGAAGGGGGGAGCCCGCGGGGAGGCCCGGCCCGACCGCCGCACGTCCTCTCCCTCCCGCCGGCCTCGGGGCCGATGAACCGCGCTGGCTTCGACGGGGAACCGGGGTGGCTGTGAATAAAGCGCGGTGCGACGCTTGGGAACGGGAGAGGAGGAGGGAAAGTGCGTGAAGCGACTCTGAAAATAGCACGCAGCGCTCAAAATAAGAACGACGTTTAGGAACGGGGGGGGGGGAAAAGTGCGTGAAGCGACTCTGAGTGTAGCGCGCAGGGCTCAGAGTCGGGATCGTAGTAACAAAACCGCGGGGAGGTCCGCGCGGAGCGCAGCCGCGCACGGAGCGGGGATCCCGGCAGCGCTGCGTCGGGGTTCGGGGCAGCCCCCGGTGCCCCCAGCGCGGCCCTTCCCCTGTGTTTACTACCGCGGCGCGTTTGGCGTGGGGACAGAGCTCGTAAATCTGCCGCCGGGAGCCGCGCGGTTGGCCCCCGGCCACGCGCTATTCCTGGAGCGGCCGCGCAACCTCCGCGCTTGGCCCCGCTGCGCTGCGCAGCCCCTCTTCCCCCCCCCTTCACCCCCCCCCCCCCCCAAAAAAAAAATGCAAAAAAGAGGTGTGCGAAAAGAAAATTCCACATTATCATTATTATTATTATTATTATTATTTAGCGGTTTTTTTTTTTTCCACAACCCACCCCCCCCCCTCCATTAAAAAAAAAAAAAAGACAAAACAAAACCGAAAAAGCCCAACTTTGTTGTGAAAACTTTCGTGATCGGGCGGCAGCGACCTCTCTCGGCCGTGCCCCCCACCCCGGTCATTCTACCCCCCCCCCCCCCCCCCCCTTCCTCTCCTGTAGTTTGCAAAGTCACAGTATGAAATGTTATGAAATCGCCTCTTGGGAAGGAGGGAAACAGAAAGCAGGGCGTTTGTTTGGAAAAAACTGGCAGCGGCCTCTCAGATGTGCCTAAAAAGCTGCCTTTGACCCCCTGTTGCATTTCCAGGGAAGAGGCAAATTTGGGCTTAAAACCGTGAGTCGAAACCAAGGCAAACAGAGCCGGCCTTGCTTTTGCTTTTTGCCACTGATTTCAGGAGTGTGGGGTTGGTGCAGAGCTGGGCTGGGAGCGGGCAGATGTGGGACCAGGGCAGCTCCATGCTGAGCCACATCTGTCTGAGCCCCAGCTCTTACCCCGTGGAAGTGTCACTGATTGGGGTCAGCCCTCCTTCCATCCGGGGCTGCACGCCGAGCCCTGGCCAGAGGTTTTAAGTGGTTAGAAAATGAGGATTTGCTGTATTGTTTTGACTGCTGGAGGGATGAGAGCTTTGCGAATGAACGCAGGCTTTCTCCATCCGTCCTTGGGGGGTTACAGCTCAAAAATCCCTTAGAAAATATTGTAGGGCAGCCTTCTCTCTATCTATAGAAACAGAGAGTGAGGCAGAACCTGAGCTCCTGTTATTTTCTTCTAACGATGGGATTGCTGCTTTAAAGCCGTGTAACGCAGACAGCAATTTTTGCCCCGTGAAACAAACCATCAAGCCATTCAAATATTCAGAGGGTGTCGAGCAATTTTCCAGGGGAATGGATTATTGCGTCGTTCCAGTAAGGAAAAAAAAAAAAAGCTCTGTCTGCAAGCAAAGCAGATCAAAGAGGTGGGGATGCATTTCGGTCCCAATTTCCAATCCCCCTCCGTTCCGACTGAGTCAGTATTCGGAGGGGAAGTGAGGGTGAACCGGGTGGTTGTTGTTGCAAAGGAAGAAGTGGGAATGAGAAGTGATTCTTCCCGATCCCGCTGAAAGAAAAAAAAAAAAGAGAATCTGTCAGGAGTCGTCATGATACTTTGTAGACATCGCAGGGAGGACCTCCAGGCTGCCCGATGAGACAGAAAGAAACCCCGCAGGAACACGAAGATTCGAAAAAAAAATAAAAAATAAAAATTAAAAAAAAATAACAAGGCTGGAAAAGCTCATAAAAAAATAATAATAATAATAACGTCGCTCAGACGCGTTTTAAGAGAAACAGAATTACATCGAGCAAATTATATGTTTTCCAGGTTTGGTCGGAGAGTTGTGTTTTGCAAAGGGGAGAAGCTCCGTCCCGCAGCGCAGCTGACTGCTGCCATCCAGCGGTGCTGCGCGCTGCGCGGGGACGGCGCTCAGACAGCGGCGATAGACGGCCGTGGCTTTTTTCCCTTCCCCCCCCCCCCCCCCTTTTTTTTTAAATCCGAATTTCTGCCTAATTTAGAACGGGACGTAAAGCTGTGCTGCTTTTATTTCGTTATTTATTAGTTTGTTTTTACTTTCAGCAGCCTGATGTTGGACTTGTAGGATTGTTGTCGTTTTGGGTTGGTTTTTTTTTTTTAGTAAACGCATTGACTCTGCCCTCCAAGTCCCATTACAAAGCCAGGTGGTAAAACTCGGTGTGTGCTTTAGCAGCGGGGGTGGATATCCTCTTAATGTGTTTGAATACCCCATTAAAAAGATCCTGTTGTTACAAAGTCCATAGGTGAGCAGAACAGAGCTCTCACCTATGCATTTCTCAATGCAGTTTCTGTCCGTCCACGTATTTCTTGTGGTGAAGAACCATTTCATGCCCATTTTAGTGCTGCAAAATCCCGATGAAGGGCTTTTATGGGTTCGGACGGAGCCTAAAATGTTGTTTTCAGGTTTCTGAGAAGTTTGTAAAATCTAAATTTGGTGGAAAGTTGCCTGCGTTCTCGTAACCTCTCATTCCGTTTTATAGCAGCATGGGAGTCTATAAACAGGAGCCCTGTGTGTTGAGTGCCTGTATTCTTTCCTAGATCTATTTTTAAACCATTCTTCTGTTTGGCAAAAAGTGACACTCGGTTTCCATGTTTACAGCAGGCATTGGCAAACCTCAGGAGTTCACAGTTTGCAGTTGGTTTAGATGGATGTCCGAAAGTTAATGTCTGACCAGTCGGCTTCAGACTACAAATTTAGACTGCAAATGGAGTCCTCCCTGCATTTACTCTTATTTCTTTTTAAATCCGCTCTAGACCTTCTGTTCCCACTGCAGCAGGGCAAGTCAGCCAAAAAGGCACACGTACCCCTGAAGCATTTAGTTCTCCAAGATGCATGAAAACCCCTGCGGTGCCCGTGGAGCTTCATACCTGAAGCAAGTAGCTGGGAGAGGAGTAAAAATTTGGGGTCTGTATTTTCTCCCCCCATTTCTCCTTGCTGATGTGCTCCCTTTGGGCTGCCCACTGGGATCCTCTGAGAATCCACGGGTTCTGTGAGAAAGATGGGACTGCTGCTGGCAGCAGGCAGAGCTCAGGATAAGTACAGTGCAGGACAGTGGGACCCAAGGAAGATGTCCCCTCCTTAAATCTATTTGGCTCTACAAATACAGAGGTGCTCTCTCCTGGGTAGTGCACCCCGTGCTGCACTTGTCCCACTGCAGCCAGGTGGGATGCTGGGATCCTTGCTGCCAACTATGCTGCGTCCGTACAGCACAGAGATGGGGACGGCCGGGTCGGTGACATATGGAGCCCCACGGGGATGGGGACTCTGCCAGCTGAGCGGTGCTCAGCCTCACTCCATAGCTTCGGCTGGGACGTGGCTGCTGCCTTCCCTTGAAAAATTCATGTGCCAAATTGCTTGGGGTCATTGGGAAGGCTGCAGCAGGCTCAGCTCCACGCTTCCCAAGGGCTCTGCTCAGCTCCCAGCTACGTGCCCTCAGTGGGAAACATCAGGGGTGGCTCTGCTGCGCTCCCCCCGCGCTGCGTGGATGGTTGGTTTGTTGGTTTTTTTTTTCTGCAAAGACCAAAACAATGTAGAGACTTAAGCCGGGCTGGCTTTCAAGGGCAATCCTTTTAAACCCTCTTTTGAAGTACGAACTATAAAGTTCCCCGCAGTGCTCAAGAAAATATGCAGTTTTCCTGGTTCCAAATGCTGATAATAAACCCGTTCAGATAATGTATTGCATTTCCTAGAAACATTTGTTTGCTGGCAGGAAATTGGATCAGATTGAAAGTTAGCAGAGCGCTCGATAGAGCGAGTGCAATCTGCTGGCGGAAGGGGACGATGGAAAAAACGCCGGGGCTCGTGCTGGCAATGCTACGTTTGATCTGTGCTGACAGTGTGCTAGGACTCTTCTCTGTCTCTCCTTTGCTTATTATTAACCAAGCCACGTTTTGGCCTAGACGCCAACCAGAAGCTGCTAAATTAATAAAAAGTGCGCTGTGACAGCTAAAGGACGCTCGGTGCCCCTTGATTGCGTGGCACAGGGAAAGCTGAGCTGGGAGCTGGCATACCCTCAGTCCCCCACACTTCATTTCTTTGTCTGCCTCTCGGCACTGGAGGAACCTAGCATCCATCTGTGGGATGGGGGGCAGCTGGCAGTATGCCCAGGCTGGGGGTGGGGGGGCAGGATGGAGCTTCCCCTGGGCGGGCAGTTTCGGAGTGCTGTGTGGGATGAGGTTATGGGGAAGAGAGACTTCAGCCATCCACTACTCTGGGGTGATGCAAAGGAGTTCGGCACTGCGGGCGCTGGAGGGGTAGGAGAACAGGTGCTGGGGTGATGGGTGCCCTCCTTCAGATTATCAGTATGGGGGGAGAGGGTAGGGTGAGGAGAAGCCTCCGTGCAAAGTGGGATAGGAGAGGAAGGAATCTCCTCTTTGTGGAGGGTGAGGGGACGGACGGACGGATGGACGGATGGATGGATGGATGGATGGATGGATGGATGGATGGATGGAGAGGGATTCCTTAGATGAAGGAGTGGATGGGTGGGAGGAGCTGCCTTGTGCTTGGCAGAAAGATGGAGAGATAGGGGTTGCAGCTTCTCCCCTCTCTGTGGTACAGGGGGCAGCTGTGGGGGTCTCCCCTCTTTGTGGGGTGGAGCTGGGGGTTCCTTCCCCACACAGTTGAACTGCTTGGCACTGGCAGAGCGGCACTGGCCCTGGGCTCCCTTCCAGGAATAGGCTTTCTCGGGGAGGTGCCAGCAGGGAAGGGCCGTTCCCTGAACTGCTGGGGCAGACCCACTGCCTTCCTGGAAGGCAGCGAGCACTGACAGTCCCATGTGGCCACCCCCGAAATGGGCCCCGACCTTCCTCTCCGGGCACAGCAAGCCCCGGCATGCAGCCTCCAGCACTGCCACTGGCCCACACCTCTGAGGTACTGGGCAGGAAAATTTCGGGGTGGGGGACGTTGGGGTGACGCTCTGAATGCAGCTGAACCTGAGGGAGCATCTGAGGGTTGGGGGCATGGGGATGGAGAAGATCGTGCTTGCCCATGGTGGTCTTCTGTGCTCCCCATCGTTTCTCTCTGCTCCTCATCATTGTCCCTTTCTCCTCAGAGCACCCTCCCTGGAGCACGGAGGTTGGGAGGGGCAGGGTTAATGCTGCTCTGTTAGAGAGGGGACGGAAGGATCCTGCATCCTGCAGTCAGAATGCTTGGAATGCACCTGCCTGCCCCAAGCACTGCGATGGGGAGAGGGGATCTGGGAGGGTGCATAGGGTCTGGGTGTCCCCCACCCCCCACACGCCCCTGACTGCTAATGCTGTGAGTAAGGGAATTTGGCGACAGCAGCAGCTTCTCACGTGATGCTCACAGGCACAGAGTTCATCTCAGTTTGTTGGTTTACAGACAGGTCAGTCCCTGTATCTGTGACACCGGGGTGAGCCACCGGGAGCGCAGCCAAGGGCGGGATGTGACCCAGCAGCCCCAAATGGTGGGAACACAAATGTGTGCTGAGCTCCTTGCAGAGCCCGGGCTTTCAATTGCGAGTGGCTGGCGGTGAGCAAGTACAGAAAGGTCAGAGCCTGCAGGATTTGGGAAATGAGTCACTTTTTGTGCGCAGGCTCAGAGTGGCAGGTCTTGAAGATTTGCATTTGGTGGCTGCAGTGGGACTGTAACACCCCTCTAGGCTCTGCTTGACATCACGCCTTAAATCATGCCAATTCTTCCTATCCCAGCCTCTCTGGAGCAGGAGGGGAGCTCCATCCACCTCACCTGCAGGTACAGGGCTGCACATTCTCTCTGCAAGTGCTGGTGGTCCTGCTGCATCACTCCAGCAAGCAGAGTCAATCACTCGCTAACTGTACATCTCCTTTTTCCTGCTGAGGACTTCCCCCTTTGTTGGTGCCAGGTTCATTGTGTTTGCTGGTTTTTAGTAAATGTGGAAGTAACAGTGTGAGTTAACTCCTGGGTTTCCTTGCCGTGCTGCCCCAGCCCTGCTTCCAGTATCGCCAGCTGCTGGAGACAAAGCTTGAAGTCTGGGGAAGGCTCTTCCAGCAGCTGGAGGAAGGCATTTGTTTGGGTCCTCATCCGTCCACGCCACCAACTTCCTACACGATCTTGGCCAAGTCATTGTGGCTCTTGACATCCGCATCCTCCCGCCTCTGTCTGGCAGTCCTGTCCCATAGTGCTTCTCCTGCTGCTCAGTAAGGGTGAGAACGGCTCGGGAGGACCAAACTCAGCTGCTGTCTAGGTTTCTGAGAAGAGCAGCAGCAAGTGCTGATGTGTAAGTCATACCTGTTAACGAGGTGCTGGGAGCGTGGCATTGGTCTGGACGTGGCGTTGGCTGGGAATTTGATGTTGGCAGGGGAGAGCTGTCCCTGAAAGAAGTGGTGAGAAAATTCTCACTTGACTTCCCTTCCCCACCTGCCTTCAAGTTCCTGAGTCATGGAAATGAAAATCTCCTTGGCATACGCCCATGGTTTGGGCTAGAGGGTGTGGAAGAAACTATGATTGGATTCTCAAAGCCTGTGGTTGTGATAAGAACATATTGTACCGGAAGAAACAAATGTTAACCTTACTGGAGAGTGCAGGGTTTGTTATCTCTAACTTTTATCCCACTGATACTGTAGGGAAACAGCAAGCTTGTGCCCTGCCACAGCCAATTCATTATTATCTGCTAACATGGTGTTTGTTTTCTTGTGCTTTATTTACAGGTTTGAAAGAAACTTTTGGACTGTGAATTGAGGCATTGGGTATGTACATTTCAGTATTCCCCCTAGCTCCCTTCCCTTTACAACATTGAATTAAATGTTTCATTAGACCCAGCTGAGATTCGTTTTCAGGAAAGCAGCTGCTCTGTAGAAAATACATTCACATGAGAAAGGAGGAGGAGATGGGGCTGGGAAAGAGGGGTCAGAGTGGAATTTGGTGCCGGAGGTGCACAAGTAGCCCAAACTTTAGATGTGGGGCAATGTGGGCTGTCATGGGAGGCTGCTGGACATCTCTGAGATGGGTCACTGGGTGCTGTGTTGGGAGCAGGCTGTTGTTCCTCTATTCACCACATCCTTCCTTGCTGGGAGAGGCTGGGCTGCAGTGTGGGCAGCAGCCCAGCAGGTTGGATGAGCTCCACTTCTCACTGCCATCATCAATTTGATGGGAAAGAGGAGATATAGCTCTTCTCTGGGCTGGCCACCTGAGAGCAGGGAAGAAGTCTGATGGTGGATGATGGCTGGTGCTCCACCATGTTGAAATCCTTCAGCATCAGCTGGGGGCTTCATGGCTCATTTTGATTCCCATGGCCAAGCTTGGGTGAGGGAACTGGCTCCTGAGGCTGAAGCTGTGCTGGGAGCTTCAGGAGGTGAATCAGAGGAGCAGTGGTGGTGGGAGGAGTGGGCTGGGGGTGGGGCTGCCATGGGTGAGGCAGGAGCCTGTGAGATAATCCTCAGGAGGGTCCAGTTGCCTTTGCTTGCAGGATGCGACTGAGACACACCAGCTTTTGATGCTGTCCCAGGGGCCTCGCCAGGGGACCTGGAGGCATCCCTGCAGGGCAGCAGGCTGCACATAGGCATCCTGGAGCAGCAGGGGGCTCTGCACTGAGGTTTGGGTGTTCTCCAGGATTTTTCTTCATTCCCATCTTTCTGCTTCTGTCCTGGGCAGACTCAAGATGGCCTCACCAGCAGACAGCTGCATCCAATTCACCCGCCATGCAAGTGATGTCCTCCTCAATCTCAACCGCCTTAGAAGCCGGGATATCCTGACCGACGTCGTCATCATTGTGAACCGGGAGCAGTTCAGAGCCCACAAAACAGTGCTGATGGCCTGCAGGTGAGTGGGAGCTCCCTCTGCTTTTAACCACTCCACAGGGTGAGTGAGCCCTCTGTGACCGGTGTGTCTTCTGCTATTTTTGGAGCTGTTCCTTCTGGCTCTAGGGCTGTGGATTTTCAAGCCCAGTTGGGTCTGAAATCCTTTTCCAGGTCAAGGATTGCTTCCTAGTGACCTCTAATTAGCATCCCCCCATTACCTCACCTCATTACTGCAGATGCCTTCCAGGGTTTCCTGCTGACATTCTAAAGATTTGGAGAAGCAAAGATCTGATTATTAAGACATCTGAAAAATGTTTTGCCAGCATTTTTTTTTTTCCTTTGGGTTGAAAGAGTGAGCATGGATGCCCCAAGAGGCTTCTGAAAGAAGTGAGTCAGTGGGGGAGAGGGTGGTGGTAAGGACAACAAAATAAGGGGAATTTCTAAAGCAAGGCAGCAGGGAGCTGTTGAGCAGGTGAGGTCTAAAAGCAGGCTGTGCTACTTGCTAAAAGTGCAGTGCAGAAGACGCTTACTAAGCTAGGAAACCAAGCTTGATAATAAGGGGGAAGCTCAGGGAATACTGTAATTGGACTCCTTCTCCTCCTTTCTTCCCATGCACAGGACTCTGTGAGCTAAGGGATTTCAAGTTCTCCTTTCTTCTTCTTAATTGTCGTAATGATTGTCTTCCTCTGTCTCCTCTCTGCAGTGGCCTCTTCTACAGCATCTTCACTGACCAGCTCAAGTGCAACTTGAATGTCATCAACCTGGACCCTGAAATTAACCCTGAGGGGTTTTGCATCCTTTTGGACTTCATGTACACCTCCCGCCTGAACCTGAGGGAGAACAATATCATGGCTGTGATGGCCACGGCACTGTACCTGCAGATGGAGCATGTGGTTGATACCTGCCGAAGGTTTGTCAAATCTAGGTGAGCACCAGAAGTGAACTTTGGAGAGCCTGGCACGGTGTGTTTGGGTGGGAGAGAAGAGGGCTGACAAAGTAGCTGCAAACTTATCTTTATGTGCTGAAAATGAATGCATCTCTTCCTTTTTGCCTGATTCCAGTGAAGCTGAGATGGTGTCTGCTGTGAAGACCCCAAGGGAAGAGTTTTTGGCTGGCCGGATGCTGAACCACCCAGAGGTGATGGCTTATCGAGGCAGAGATGTCTCAGAGAACAGCATGCCTCTCCAGAATGGGTCCCTCTGCAATGGGAGGGCCTTCGCACCTGGCTTATTCAACAGTTTGTCTGGATCCTCCATTTCCTACCCTGGGTACAGCCCTCTGCCTCTCAATGGCTTCCTCGTGGATGATGACTTGCGGGAGATGAGGATGCCTCTCTCTGAACTCTCAAGGGTGAGTGCCTTCCCCAAGGAGAGGATGCCGTGTGACAGCTCCAGGACGATCCCCACGGAGTACATGAGAACCATCACCGACATTTCGGCCAACATGTGCCACGCCACCATCTATTCTCCAAAAGAAGGTGCTGCTGAAGAAGCCAGGAGCGACATGCACTACAGCGTAGCTTCTGGCCCCAAACCTGTTGTCCCCTCCATCCGGAACAATCCTTACTTCTCTTGTGACAAAGTGGCCAAAGAAGAGGAGCGGACCTCTTCAGAGGATGAGATCAGCCAGCACTTTGAGCCCACCAACACCCCCCTGGACCGCAAGGGCCTGATCAGCCCCCAGAGCCCCCAGAAGTCAGATTGTCAGCCCAACTCTCCCACTGAGTCCAGCAGCAGCAAGAATGCCCGCATCAGTCAGAACTCCAACTCTCTTTTCACCAAGAGCCCCACTGATCCCAAAGCCTGCAACTGGAAGAAGTACAAATTCATTGTCCTCAACTCTCTTAACCAGAGCACCAAACAAGACAGCGCTGACCAGAACGAGATGGGAACCCTCTCTCCTCGCACCTACATGCCCATGTCCACTTGCCAGCAGTCCATGGAGCCAGAGCATCTCAACGTGCAATCCCCCACCAAGATGAGCGTGAATGGAGAAGACTCCAACATCCCCCAAGCGAGCAGGCTCAACAACATTGTTAACAGGTGAGAAGGTGGCCCCTGGCAGACAGGACTCCCTGTGTTGTTGGTGAGAGTTTGGAGGTGTGCGACATAGCTGTAGTGTTGTGTTGGGGTGTCCGGCTGTGAGCAGGTGGAAACCTCTGCGCTTGTTGAAGCACTGCCAGGGTTACCGGCTGGACTCCAGCTGTCCCCATGATAGCAGTGCCAGCTTGGCCTCATGGTGGAGTTGGGAACGCAGGATCAGGAATTCCTGACCTGCTTCACCAGCTCTGGATGGTTTCTGGAGCATGAATTTGGCAAGCATGGTTTTCACCCAAATCACTGCCTAGAGCTTGTGGTTGGCTGTAGGCACTGCAAGGCTGAATTAGCATGGAGCAATGTGCTGTCCCCTGGACCTGGATGTTCCTAGAGAGCTTTGAGGTCATTTTACAATGGGCACCTGCAAGGTGAGGCTCAGGGACCTGTTGTTGATCAGGGCTATGCTGTGCGTCTTAGCTTAGAAGTCTCCCCATAAACCATGGGTGTTCCTTGTGTCTGGAATGATGCAAACAACAAGGACCTGGTAGCTCAAGCACAGCAAGAGCCTTCTCACAGCTGTATGTGTTGCTGTCCTTCCACAGGTCCCGGGATGGGTCCCCGCGCAGCAGCGAGGGGCAGTCCCCTCTCTACATGCATTCGTCGAAGTGCAGCTCCTGTGGCTGCCAGTCCCCACAACACACTGAGATGTGCCTTCATACCTCTGGCTCAGCCTTTGGAGAGGAGATGGGGGAGACCCAGTCTGAGTACTCTGACTCCAGCTGTGGTGAGTCCTGCATCCTGTTCACCTTTTCAGCCAGCAGGCGAGGGGACGCGTTCACCCAGAGCCCTTCATCCAAAGGGATTGCCAGATCTGCCTCTGGTGCTGGTGGATCCCAAAGTGCTTTATGGTGTTAACTGGCTGCCCAGCTCTGTGCACACGTGTGAGATGCACACATGTGGGCACTGCTTCTGTCTTCCCCTACCCCAGCACCGTCCAGATACTTTGTGTGGGGAGTTAGTCACCTGCTGCTAACCTGGCAGCTAAGGACAGGAAATAAATTGAACTCCACCCTGCCACTATCATATGAGAACAAGCTTGGCAGATGTAACGATCCTAATGGGGATTGGGCAAGGTAGTGTGTCTCACGCATCCGTCACGATACCTTCATTATCAGGGAGCCAAATGTGCACATCTGGAGAAATGCAGATAATGAGCCTTGCAATCTTGTTGCAAAACCCCACAAGCCCAGAGACAATATCTATCTGCCCGTAGCTCGGGGAGAGGGAATGCAGAATTGTCACTGTGGTGTGGGCAGAGATCTGTAGCAGTAGCACAGGTGTGATGCTCAGAGCTCCACACTGCAATTAAGAGTTGGGCAGCCTTGTAACAGGGGACCTGCCTGCTTCTTTTGGAGATGGTGGTCTTCCCATGCTCATGGAAGACATCTATACTGTGAGAGTTTAAGACCTCTAAAGGGGCTGGAGTTGCTCCAGAACCAAGCATCCTTCAGAAGACGCCTAATAACTGGGGTGCATAGAGTTGTGCATCACCCGTCTCACCGCTCTCCAATCTGCTCCTCAGAGAACGGAGCCTTCTTCTGCAATGAGTGTGACTGCCGGTTCTCCGAGGAGGCCTCACTCAAGAGACACTCTCTGCAAGTCCACAGCGACAAACCCTACAAGTGCGACCGCTGCCAGGCCTCCTTCCGCTACAAGGGGAACCTCGCCAGCCACAAAACCGTCCACACAGGTACGGGGTCTGCAGCTCCTCTAGGGCTGAATTTGTTCGCTATAAAGCACTGGGTGTTTCTAAACGTGTGGCTGGGGGCAGATGTGTGCCCTCTGGGTTGCGCAGACAAAAAAGGAAAATAAAAATAATCATGTTGGGTTTTTTTTTTTTTTTTTGGTTGTTGATTTTCCTACATCTTAGAAATCCAGATCGTATCTAGCCTGGCAGAAAGTCTGCTGATAGGAAAATCTGTGAACAAATAGACCCTGTGAATCAGCGCAATGAAAGCTGGGAAGGGAAAGGGATATTAGGGGGTTAGTCATTTGCTGACAAACCTGGGGATTTTTATTTCATGCTTTTATTATGCCAACAACCAGTTTTCTGGCTGGAGAGGGAAGGTCCCGCAGTCCCACTGGAGCTCCACATGGCTGCAGAGACAAGCAGGGAGACACAAGGACTGGGCTGGGTCTGATAGTGCAGGTTCAAAGGCCCTCAGACCTCCCCCCTCCCCCTGGCCAATTAATCCACCAGGCAGGAACCCATTTGCCTTTGAATGCTGAACAAAAGAAAAAGGCAGGAAGGGACAGGCGATGGCTTGTTCTGCTCCCCATTGAGCTCATCTTCAGTCAGCCTGAAGAAACTAGCTAAAATCTTTCTGCAACTCCCCCCTTGCCATGAAAAGGCAGCCAGGGCTGACAGCAGGAGTCGTGTCTGAAGAATGAATGGAGCTGGGTCCCCAGGCATGCCTTGGCTTCCTGCTCTCTTGGCTCTTCTCGCTTCTCCAAGGAAGAATGGGACGTGCCTGGGACTGTCAGGCAGCTGTGTGTGCCCTGCTCAGTGCTGTGGGTCACTCAGGGTACCAGCCAGGAAGAGTGATTCTGTTAATCCTTGCTAGTAGAGCTGCCCGACTTTCTCTTTTGCCCTGGAGGCTGCAGCTCCCAACTCCAAAAACACCAATAGCAAGATGAACTCTGCTCCAGAGATGAGCGAGGCTGCTTCTGCCTGCTGTTCTCTTCCTAAAATGCCTGTGTGCTACAGACACCTCTAAAAGGGTCAGGCACATGGCAGGACCGTGCTTTGGGGCTTACATGTGTATGGCACGGTGATATTTATCCCCTTGTCCTTTCTGTTGGACTCTACAGGAGAAAAGCCGTACCGCTGCAACATCTGTGGGGCGCAGTTCAACCGGCCAGCCAACCTGAAAACCCACACACGTATTCACTCCGGAGAGAAACCCTACAAGTGCGAGACCTGCGGGGCCAGATTTGTCCAGGTGGGTGTGAGCTCTGAGATCCACAGCACCCAGGGGTGGGACATGGCCAGGATCCTGCTGAAGACCTGGAGGTGGCTGCAGGGCCATGCAGAGGATAAACTGGGGTTTGATGGTGGTGGAGGCCAGCTTGTCGGCTCAGTGGGAAACCTAACCTGGGGCTGCTCTCCCCCAGGTGGCCCATCTCCGTGCTCATGTGCTCATTCACACTGGGGAGAAGCCATACCCCTGCGAGATCTGTGGCACACGTTTCCGGCACCTGCAGACCCTCAAAAGCCACCTTCGAATCCACACGGGCGAGAAACCGTATCATGTGAGTGATCAGCCTCCTTTCTTTGGGGATTGGGATGCTAACCAACCCAAGGGGTGGGAAGACACCAAACCATTCAGATGGGCTTGCTGCAGCATTGCAAGTGCTCTGATGTGTGGCCAGCATTGGGTGCATCAGAGCTGCTTTCCTGTTCTTCCTCAGTTCTGGAAGAAGGTTACGCTTCTCCAGATAGCCATGGCTTAAATTACAGCCTCCTGCTGCATGTGGGGATGGGGAGAGGAGCTGTGGCAGCACGCCGTGCCTTGCTGGGGTCAAGGCTTGGGGGTTGAGCAGCTTCCCCACTGCTTCTCCCATCGTACCTCCACTTTCTCCACTCCATCTGTGCAATGGGCGCAGTACACGGAGAGGATGGCCATTTGCTCGGGCGTGCTGCTTGTCCTCTTCCAAGGGATGCATGCGTCCCCCGATGTGATTTTTGACCCCTCGTGCCTTTGCTTTCTGCTCTGCAGTGTGAGAAGTGCAACCTGCACTTCCGCCACAAAAGCCAGCTGCGGCTGCACCTGCGGCAGAAGCACGGGGCCATCACAAACACCAAGGTGCAGTACCGCATCTCGGCCAACGAGGTGCCTCCAGAGCTCCCCAAGGCGTGCTGAAGGCCGAGGATTTCCCAGGAGGAGGTCAGAGGGAAGCTGTCCAAAGGATACTTGCAACACTTTAATGGAGAAAAAAATATATATATATATAAAGAAAAAAATTCATCACATGATGGAGTGCCTCTAAACCCATAGTGCAGATAGGTGGAAAACATTAGAAACAAACTAAAAAAGCATAAAAAAAATAAAAATAAAAAAAAAAGAACAAACACGGGTTTTATTTTTCCCAGTTATGTGAAAGGAAAAAAAAAAAAGAAAGAGAAAATTATTCAGATCTTATTGTATATAGAACATAAACATGAAAAGTAGTCATTTTAAATGTCTGTGCAGTGGAGTGTTGATAAACTCTGGAGTCTAACCTTCACAGCCTTTGCCGTTTGAAGATGAGGAATGTAATGTTGATTTATGGGAACAGATTTTTTCTTTTGTATGCAAAATGTGTGTTCTTTTAAAGAGAAAGTATGCTATTAAAGAGAGGGCTTTAACTTTTTTAACCAAAGGTGAAGGAATCTATGGCAGAGTTGTAAATATATATAGATATAAATATATAAATATATATATAAAATAAATATATATAGACCTTTAAAAAAGCTATATTAAAAATATATAAAATGCATTAAAGGCTCAGTTGGACTCTGCAGGCAGAAGCCACTCTGAGAATCTTTATTATGATAGAGCACTTAACGAGATATTTTAAAGTATTGCATCTGTACAAGTAAGAAAATATTTTGTCTAAATGCATCAGTGTATTTGTATTTTTTTGCAAGTGAAGGTTTACAATTTACAAAAAAGTGTGTATTAAACCAACAAAGCTGCAGAAGGAATTTAAAATAATAATAAAATGTAACTTTTTTGTTCTAGTTCTCAGTCTGTATATATGTAAAATGTGGTTTCGCACGGTGCCTTTCTTTTCAATGGAAGTTTTCAATGTATGGACTATACTGAGCTCAGTTTCTTCTTCAAGGTACAGCCTGATGTTGCAGAAAGAGTTTTGGTGGAACTCTCTGTTGGGGAATGTTTTTATTTTGTTTTTGTTTGTTTGTTTTGGATTATATTTTTTTTTTCCAGTCTTATTTTACATTGCTTGTGTTATAAACAATCTCGGGAGACAGGGTTTGGGCTGTGTCTAAACTGCATTAATGCGTTCTGTAAAATATAGCTGTACAAATAAAAGAATAAAATGAAGAAAAGTGAAGCGCCACGCAGTGAGAGGTCTGGTTTTTTTTTTGCCTGCCTTGCTCCTGGAGCCTCTGAAGCATGGAATGGAAGGGGCTGAGCCCCTATTCTGCTCCCAGCTGCAGCTGGGTGGGCTGGGGATTCCTCTCAGCAGGGAGAGAGCAGCTGGGGCTGAAGCCATGGGGGGGCCCTGGGAATGGGGGAAGACCCAAAATGCCTCCTGCTGTGTGCTCACTGGTTGCAGCAAAGCAAGGGGGACTCACTGAGGGCGGCTCTGTGTGACATGGGCAGCGCTGCTGTGGGGCAGGACTCGTGTTCATTTGTGACTAATTGGGATGCAGGGCTGGAGGTGACTCACTGTGATGGCACTCAAAGTACCAGCGGGAAGAGGAACTGTGGCATGAGGTCCTGCTGGCCGCAAATCCAGGCACGCTGCTGTGCCCACCAGCCACGTTCAGGCTCCTCCCTGCTGCCAGGAGCTGGCTTTGAGGCTTCAGCTTTTCTTGGTCCTTGCATTTGGCACTTTTGGAAGCTGCTGGCTGTGCTGACAGCCCCCGCCATTCCCAGATAAGCAGGCCTTATCCCTGTGACCTCCTTTTCCCATTGCGTTTGCAAAACAAATACTATTTTCCTGGATCATGGCTGTGTTTCCTCCCCCTGACAGATTATCATTCTTTTAACAAAGATGTCATGCCTTATCCAGGCAGTCCAGCTGAAGTGACAGCCACCTCTGCCTTTTGTCCCCAGTTAGAGGTGAGGGAACACTCAGCTCTACGCTACACATTTTTCAAGCCTGTAAATGATGAACTGGTCAGGCCAGCCCATTGAAAACCTAGCTCCAGAGAAGGGGGTTGAGCAATTTCAGTCCTCTAAAGGACAACAGCCAGCTGATAAACCAACCGCTTTCCATGAAGTTTCCTAGAGTATGTCTGAGCAGCTCTTTCAGTACCCATCTCACTGCCATTCCATGCAAAGACATCCCAAAAGATGGGAATGTGGCCACGTTTTCTTTCAGATTTCATCTGCAACAGAAAGCACATCAGTAAGCTCACAGCTCCAGCCTCGTTTTACTTCTCATATGGGACCACAACCAGAGAAATGGGTCAGGTTCCTTCCAGCTGAGCATTTTGGGGGTTGCCTCTCCATTCCTTGGTGCTGCATAACTCATGCTGAAGTACAGAATATTTAAATGCAGGCGCAGCACCTGGGGCTTTCCCAAATGTGGCCGTTGACCTCAGAGTACAGGGGGACCAAAGGACGCTATCTGCACCTTATTTCTGCTGGCAGCTGCGAGGGCTGTGTCCCTCAGTGCCTTGCAGGATGGTTTTGAGGCACTTGGCTGCGTTCTGGCGGATGCCCACGAGAGGGCAGGCGAGGATGGAGTTTAGGGAGCGCTAGGAATGAATGATAAAAAAAAAAAAAAAAAGAAGGAAGAATCCAGCCTGCACTGTGACGTCTGTTGCTCTTGGGAAAAATCTTAAAATCTTGCACCTGAGGAAGAAATGCTACTGGGAGAAACCTTGGTTGGTTGGCATAAGTGAATGTCATGAAATTCAACACGGGCAAGTGCAAAGTGCTGCAGCTGGGTTGGAGCACAAATACAGACTGAGTGATGGGATTGAGAGCAGCTGGGGAGGGCTTGAGGGTCAGAAAAACAAATGATCACCACAACCTTAACATGCTCTAGCAGTGTGTGCCTGCTATTCAGAAAGCCAGGTATGTTGAGGCCAGCAGGTCAAGAAGGTGACTGCCTTTTTCTGCTCTGTCCTTGTGAGGTCCCACCTGTAGTGCTGTGTTGAGCTCTGGGGTCCCAGCATAAGAAAGACACCAAGCTGCTGTACTAGGTCCAGAAGAGGCCACAGAGATACTCAGCTCAACATCTCTCCTATGAAGAAAGATTGTGGGAACTGGGCTTGTTCAGCCTAAAGAGAAGACCTTATTATGGCTTTTCAATACTTAAAGGGGCCTATAGAAAAGATGGGGAGGAATTCTTCATCAGGAGATGTGGTGACAGGACAGGGAATGATGGCTTTAAACTAAAAGATAGGTGATTTAAGTGAGATGTTAGGAGGAAATCTTTCACTCAGAGGTGGTGAGACCCTGGCACAGCTGCCCAGAGAAGCTGTGAGTGTCCCATCCCTGAAGGTGCTGAATGGGGCCCTGGGCAACCTGAATTGGGGCAGAGCAACCAACCCACGGCAGGAAGTTGGGACTGTGTGGGATTTAAGGTCCTTTTCACTTGAAAACATTCTGTGAAAGTTTGCAGGCAGAAAGACATTGATGTCCTGCAGTTTGTCCCTGGCCTCGCTTGGATCTGTTGAAGAGAAAGACCAGCTGTAGCCCGTGGTGGCCAGGAGCAACCAGAAGAATTTCACAGCTCTGGGTCCCAGATCACAGCTTGGCACTACAGTGTGGCTGACTGCTGCAATGTAAGAAGAATGTTTTGTCCCTGCTGTCACGGCAATAATGTGTGGTAAAACTGTTCTGCTCTTGAAAGCAGAGCAGAGAGATCTTGGAGAGCATTTTGCAGGTGACAGCCAGGGTGGTGAGGTGCAGTAAGAGCTGTTCCTGCAGGCATGGTGACAGCAGAGGGCACACTGTGCAGGCACAGCGCTGAGCGTGCAGCCTGTGCACTCAGCTCAGGCACCGCTGGACTGCTCTGGATTTGTGTAGCAAGCTGGAGGAGAGCTGGGGTAAGGAAGCAGTCATAGGAATTCAATGCAGTTGAGTCGTCTGCAGAGCTACATGCCCCGCAGCGCTGCTGCAGAAAGAAAGGAATCGAGTCACCCTCGCCACAGACTAACAGTGATGGATTTATCTGGCTGGGGAAAAAATCTGAACGTGCTGATCCCACAGAGAAGCGGGGGAGTGGGAAGTGGCAGATCTGCACCTTGCTCCTCTTTGTTTAAACCAGAGTCCTGAGGCCATCTGACTGCCTGCATTTCCCATTGCCCAGGAGGAACAGAAGGAGATGCTGCAAAGGTGAACAGGGTAGATGGGCTCCCTTTTTCCTGACCCTCTCCGTTGATTTCCTTCAGGTCAGCACAAGAGGGTTTTCTGGACCAGAGCATGTGTTTTCACATTTGGTTAAATTGAATTTTTACTTTCAGATCTTTTTCTGAAATGGAATGCTGAAACTCTTCTGCTGGAGAACATCAGAATGATTCTTCAGAATTCTGCCTGAGAGCACCAAGAATTTTGATCCTTTCAACGTTTTACCAGGAACAAAGTTCAAATCTAATAGAAGCTCCACCTCAGTCCATTAGAACAAACCAAGACGAATTTTCCAACCAGTGCCCTGGCTCTGCTCTTACCTTTACAAGCTCTGCAACCTCAGCTGAATCCCAGGAGAGAAGAAATGGACAAGATGGGCGTCAGGGCCTTCCTGAGGCTGCTCTGGCTCAAGGGCCAAGCCATCTCCTGATGGGAGGCAGGACCAGAGACAGCAAAGAAGCTTCTGCTTCGCCCCAGTGCTGCGGAATGGCAGTCAGAGCCAACCTGTTCCTCCAGATCTTGTCTCTGTGTTGCTGGCAGAGTCACAATAGGCAGGGACACCATCAAAATCAGGGATCCCCAGGGGGACCAAGGGTTTCTGCTTGCCTGGGACTAGGCTGCAGAGATCATATATCTAACTACAGCAGCACTGCTCCTAGCCCGAAGCCTCACTGAATGTTACTACTTTGCAGAAGGATGCCTTTCATCCTTCTTCCTCGTGTATGAATATTAAAAAATGAAATCTGAAAGATAGGCAAGGACAGCAGCCAGAGAGGAATAACCTTTTGTTGGGGCTGGATTCCTTGCTGCAAATGGTGAGCTGAGAAGCTTGGATTTGGACAAGGCATTAACAATGGCTTCTGAAAGCCCCATATGGACTAGAGTGTTACCTCACACCTTTTACACCACTATGACCACACTGGCCATGGGAGACCTAGGGGTCACTTGCTGCTACTGGCACAACTATGAAAAGTAGGGGATTTGCTGCTGAGGGAAGCCGCCCCTAGGAAATGGCTCTTAAAGGTAACTAAGAGGGCCAGGATAGGAGTGGTTTTTAACATCTGTAGTCTTGGACACCTGCCATGCCCAAGGCTGGCCGTGATCCTTTGACTGCAGGGAGGAGGAGTGATGTGCTCAGGTCCAGCTGCTAGTATGGTGATGTGAGAGGTCTGACAGTCATGGCCCTTGGAGCCAGTCTGCTCTTTTTTGGTCCAAATCAGTTCAGTTGCATTCTTTTGCTCCAAAATTTGGGGAAGATGCAGCGGCTGAAATGATGTGTGGCTGCAGATGTCTGCCCAGGGGAAGGGATGCACCCTGCAGGGTAGGCAGTGTCTGCTCAGTCTGGAAGTCTGCCTAGTTGGGAACCAGTGACCAGCACCAATTTCTCTTGCTGGGCTGTAAAGCAGAGCAGGAACTTTTCCACATGTACTCTTTGTTCCCAGCTCAGCAACGCTGAAGTCAGGGAGTGTGTTGTTAATGGGAGCGTTAATTCAGTACTAACTGGAATAATCCTTCTGGAGGTTTCTGGAGCAGTAGCTCACTCTTTGTTCCCACAAGCCTTTGACTTTCTGCCGCTGGGAATGGGAGGAGGGATGCCCTGACACCACGTGTCTGAGTAGTAGCGGGCCGTTCGCAATTTTCTCTGCTCCGGACACCTGGGACGGGGCTGATGTGGCCCATCCTTCGGGGTGCAGGGAGCCGTCCTTCCAGCAGCTTTGCCCGCTGTGGGCTGCCAGGCAGCCCCCTGGGGATGGGCAGGGAGAGAGGGGGGAGACCAGCGGGACGGAAACGTTCCCGCTGAGATTTTAGTGGCTTTGAATCAGACACCGGGGGGGTTCTCTGAGGGCTTAGCGGGAACCTGCACGGCCAAGACATCGCCTGTGCCCTCTTTCCTGAGCTGCGGAGATGTCGCAGAGCCGGGCTCTGTGCGGCAGGCTGAGAGCAGAGCTGCCCCGACGGCGGCCGGAGCAGGTCGGGGACTGTTCGGAGAGCTCCGAGAGGACCGGGGAGGAAAAGAGCCACTGGGGGTAGCTCTGAATCCCTCTGTCCATGCTGGAACCGGAGGCAAATCCGCCTTTAAGGGAAGGATTTGCAGCTTCGCCGCTGTGCGGCCGTTTGTTACTCGGCGGGGCGGGAGAGCCGAGCAAAAGAGAAGCTTTGGTATCGGGGCCGTGGGGAGGGCGGTGCACAGCCAGGAACCCCTCACCGCCCCCTGGGGGGGCTTTGAAGCTCGGGGAGGAGTGAACGGATGAGTAGAGTCGAGAACGGGATAAGCAGCGGTTTGGGGAGAAAAACCCTCTGGAGAACGGATGGGGGGAGGAACGCAACCGAGGGGAGCACCGCAGGTGTCTGGCCAGCCCGGGGCAGAGCGGAGCATCCCCGGCCGCGGCCCTCCTCCCCCCCGGGCCGGGCAGAGACCCACCCCCGGCGGCTTGGGGCGAGGGGGGCGCCCCCGCCTTGACGTCAGGAGAAGGGTTTAAAAAGGCGACGGGAGCCGAGGAGATCCCCAACGCCGGAGCCGAGCAGCAGCGGAGCCGTCAGCTCTTCCCCGCCGCCTCCTGCCCGAGCCCGACCCGCCGGCGAGATGCTGTCGTGCCGCCTGCAGTGCGCCCTGGCCCTGCTCTCCATCGCCCTGGCCGTCGGCACCGTCTCGGCCGCCCCCTCGGACCCGCGGCTCCGGCAGTTCCTGCAGAAGTCCCTGGCTGCCGCCGCCGGGAAGCAGGTGAGAGCCCCGCGACGGGACGGAGCCCTGCTGGAGCCCCCGGCACCCTCGCTGCAGAACCCCGCTCCCCCTCCACGCAGTCCGCTTCTCCTCCTGCTTCCCCCTGCAGACCCTCCTTCTCCCCCCGATAACCCGTAGCAGAATCCTGGGTTCCCCGTTGCAAACCCCTCTGGTTTCCCTCTGGACACCCCGGTGCTATCCGTGCAGATTCTTCACCAGAGCTCCTCGGTTTCCCCACTCCAGATTCGGGTTGCTTGCTGCAGAGCCCGGTTCCCTGATAGCTCCCTGGTTCCCTGCCAGAGCTGAGCTTTATGACTAGGGGCAGGAAGGTAAGACCACTCTTCCAGCACATCCTACTGGGGGATAAGGAGCAGCTGCTGCCAAGATAGAGAGCAGAGCCTCTGGGGAAGCTTTCCAGGGCGCTGAACCAAGGTTGTGCTGCAGGAGAATGTCTTCTGCTATACAAAGGAACAGTAGGACTTGGAGGGATGAGAGAGAAAATCACCCGTTATGAGTGCCCCCACTCAGCTTCCCCTGTGAGCTTTTTCTCTTGCTGCACAGCATCCCTGCCGAGTCTGTCTTCAGTGCCAGACCAGCAGTGAGGAAAGGGGTCGTGGGTTGTTGTAGGGTGATGCTGGGATGAGCTCCTTCCTGGCACAGCCAGGACTGGGATCTCCTCACTGCATCAGGTATGTATCAGCGCTCTGCTCTATTCTGTAGCCACAGCTGCTCTAAGGCAGCTGCCGAGCTGAGCTCCTGCGGAGCCGTGTCCATCCGTGGGCACAAAGGAGGTGAGCCCCCAATAGCCGAAGAATAACTGTGATCTCTCTCCTGCTTTCTCTCTCCTCTCCCCAAGGAACTGGCCAAGTACTTTTTGGCAGAACTGCTCTCAGAGCCAAGCCAGACAGAAAATGAAGCTCTGGAGTCGGAGGACTTGTCCAGAGGGGCCGAGCAGGACGAAGTGAGACTGGAGCTGGAGCGTTCGGCCAACTCAAATCCCGCGCTGGCTCCCCGGGAACGCAAAGCGGGCTGCAAGAACTTCTTCTGGAAAACTTTCACATCCTGTTAGCTTTTGAAACCCACCTGTCCTCCCCATCCACCCCTGCCTTCTTCCTATTCCCCCGCCCTGAGCAGAATCTTCACCACGAGAGGCGAAGACTGTAAATACACGGTCCACGGTTATGGTGAAAGTAAACACACAAGGAATATTTGAGTTTGATTTCGAGTTGTTTTAATAAAACTTTCAGTTCCAATTGTACACGATTTGCTTGAGTTGTGATTTCTGACTAGTTCTTTGATGACATGCACTCTGCGATTCTTTCAGATGTACTATTTTTAATTCTTTGTTGCAATAAATTTTATGTTTCGAACAGTGATGCTGAGACTGGCTGGTCACTGAGAAAAGCTACGTCCCCTCACTCAGCCTTCTTGTCTTGGAAACACTGCCTGTCTCAGGGCAAAACCAGCAAGCAGTAGCGCAGCCTCTGCGCACACACACACACACAAATGCACAGGCACATTTTCTCTAAGTGAATTTTTTCGCTGCAGTCTTTCTATGGTACCCAGACACTCCACAGCATTTTAGACATCAAATCCCTGTAATTGGGGTTGAGTCAAATGCACAGCGCTGCTGGTTTGGCTGATCTAGAGGATTTACACCCAACACCACAGTAAATCACAGCTGCACATTTGCAGAGATGGGATCGTAAAAGAGGATCACAGTACAGGCTCACCCCATGCGTACCTTATTCCCTCCTCACTCACAAATACTGAAGTGTTTTCTTACCTTTATTCCTTGCACCATCCCCAACAAAATCCATCTGATATTCCCTTGGAAAGTTCTCCTTTGTTCCACTGCATCCCTGTAAAGGTGCAATATTAAGCCTGCATTATCAGTATCTCTTCATCTGTAAATTGGTACAGTGGTTTTCTACCCATTATGAATTAAAGGCAACATTAAAAGTGTCAGCTGAGCAGGAGATAGCATCAAGAAAAAGACACATCTCAATGGAAGAGAATTTCTTTGTGCTTTTCCAGCTTATCTTCCTAGACGCACTGGTTTCTGACGTGCAGTCGTTGGAGAGCTGGAGATGTGGGGAACAAGTGTCACTTTGATGAGAAATTCATCACTAAGGAGTAAAGATAACAAATATTTTGCACACATCGTATCTGAAAGAAAGCTGCAAAATGAGGGGGGGTGCAGAACAGATCACAGGCACAAGCCTGACCCCATGGAGGAGGATTCTCCCAGTGGAGAAGGCACTGAGTCCCCCTGGTCTGTGCTGGAGGCAGCTCAGATGGGCACAGCTACCGTGCCAACTCTGCACCTCCTCCCCCTGCAGGCATCTCCTCATGGCTGAGCTGAGGGCTTTGCAAGCCCAAAGGGACAGGTGCCACAGCACTGACACTCCCAGCACTTGTGGGAACTAAAGAAGGAACCCCAGGTGCTGGCACTCAGGGCATATGTTGTTACCTCCCTTCTCTCTGATGGGTGCAGCTGGGCAGGGTGCAGCATTAACTCACCCCCGGGTGGAGACAGATGGTGGCAACTGTGCAAAAGGTAATGGGAAGAGATTAGGGGAGCTCAGGTGGTGCTGATCAATTCCCAGCCCTAAAAGCAGATGGGGGGAGAATGGGGCTCTTATTAAATGCATGGAGGAAGATAGAGGGGAGCACGCTAGCCCTAGGTCTTTATTGGATTCCTTGGCTGTTGCACTTCCTAAAGGATGCAAGTTTCTGGGGCTTCTGCAAAGCAGAGATCTCCTCATCCCTGGGCACTCACTGATGTCTTGACTGAGGATCCACTTAGCCTTCAAAAAACAGCAGTTCTTCTGTGTTGATGTGGCTTCAGGAGTACAGCTACAGGAATAGGAAGGACATGGTGGGACCAGGGCTTGAATATTCTTAAATCATTTCCTTTTTGCTTGAGGTTTTCTTCTTGGTTGCTATGCTTGAGCAGTGCTTTTGAAAGGAGCTTAATCCTGCCCGTTGCTGGAATGGAACCCATCACCAACAAGGACACAGGTGATCTAGAACTAGACGAAGTGATTTACTTTCTGCACTATCCTGTTTCAGCACGACAGCACTAGCAATCCTGGGCACCGTGAGCTGTGCAAATAGATGCCTAGAGATACCCTTGCTTTGCTGAGCTAAAAAGACAAGAAAGGCTTATTGCTTCCCTTTGATATGTGAGAATTATGGGCTAAAGAAATGAAGTGGCTGTATGTAATCCTTTGTCACACAGCCACCAAGCAGTGCCCTGGACTGGGAAGGCTCTTGCTGGGTGAAGCTGAATGTGGGATGACAGCACACGGCGGGGTCAACCTCCAGGGGCTGGAGCTGCTGAAGTGGGGGCAGCATTTGAGAGAGGATTTTTAGCCTCAGCTCCATGGAGAAGCAGCCTCTGCACTGGCCTCAGGGAGGCTGAGGGCTGTGGTGCCCCATGCTCAGCTGATTCATCTCCCCTCTTGCACTCAGTGACGTGGGCACACCCAGAGCAGTCCCCATTGGAGATTCATCTCACGTTCTGCAGGGGAACGTCAGTGAGAAGCCTCATGAAAGGATGTGGAACTGGATGCCAGATTTCCAACATCTGACAAAGAAACCCGCATGGATGGGGCCTCCTCCCTCACCACTCCAGCTGCAAGTAGGTGCTATGCTGTGCTGCGGGAGGCAATGCTCCTGTCCTCTTCCCTGACACAACCAGGCCTGCAGAGATGCTCCCAGCCCTCTTGTGCCCATTCCTCAGCCATTGTTAGGCTGCATCCCCTGGATATGGAGCAGAGTCAGAGAGTCCCTCCCAGCCCCATACTCAGCTCAGTGCTAAGGTGCTCAAGGTACAGCATTTCCTCCCTTATACAGCTCAGGGTTTTGCCTTCAACGGAAAGATTGTTCTTCCCCTCAGGCTGGGCCTTAAGGAAGAAAAGGATCCTCCTAGAAACTGGCTGTTGTGTTTGCAAGGCTCTTTCCTCTATTGGCAATTACGTTGTTGTTTATCATCTGTCTGAATTCCTTACTCAGTTGTTCAAAACCTCTCAGCAGGAATAGTGGGGGCAGAGGGAGGAGGGCTATGCCCACTTAAAGGCTCAGGGGACCCTATGTTACATCTTGGTGGCACTTGGGCACAATGTATAGCAATTACCGTTTCCAGGCTGCTGGGAGGCTGCATCTTCCTTAGCCTGAATAACTCGCTCTTAAGGGGCAGTGAGGGCTGGAGGTCATGCTGCTGGCTCAGACCCACCTGCAGAAGAGCAGGGTCTGCTGTGGCTCTTTAATGAAGCAGCCTGGGCATGGCACCGACCTCATGAGTTCCATCACTCGTGGTTGGCTGCTCTGGGCACCCAGCTGGTGGTGGTCCATTGGTGATGGTTAGGACCCCCCCAGTCAACCCCTGCTCAGACACATAGAGAGATTAGGAGCAACCAACATGGATGAACCAGAGCCTTCACTAAAGGAACGCAAGGAAAAGGCAGAAGCTGTACTCCCTGACACCTGCATTCAATGCTTAGAAAGCCATAACTGGGAAGAGCAGGTGTGCAGCCTGGATGTGATTCAGAAGGCAAGTAGTGGTGGATGCCCTCGCCTTCAGGCAGAGAGAGGGGAGGAGTGGAAACAGGAAGGAAAATGGAAGGGGAGCATTGGGGTGGCTCTCTGTCAGGGAGTGCTTTGATGTTACAGAGCTTAATGTTGGGAATGACAAGGTCAAATCTTTATGGTATGTGTGTCCAACCTTTCAGCTTCCCTGGCCTGCACTGAGTGAAGAGGAACTGTCTTGGGCCACGTGGGTTGCTCTAAAAGTAATGCCTCCTATTTATTTCCATGGAAACTACTGCAGATACAAAGAGCATGGTGACGCTGTTTGATAGAGCAAATCCTCAGCTACAGAACCCTATTTTTCAACATAGTCATTACCATTAGCTGTGCATTATTTCCAGCAATGAACAAGAGCTTGCATGCCACACTGCATGTAACAGTCTGTACCAGTGGAAGTGACTTGCTGTCTCCACTGCTGAAACTTTGTCAGACTGTCCCCTCTGCTGCCCTCTTTTCCACAGCAACAAAATGTAACACTGTGGGTGGGAAGGTTCAACCTCAACTGCCATACCACCAGTATCCACCTCTGACATCGTGGGACAACATAATAAAGTAGAAGGTATTACTTTTGGAGTAGCCTTCATATGTAGCATGTAATATGGTTAATTTAAGTAAGTAACAAAATTTATTTTAATGTTTAGTACTTTCAATTAAAAAATGAAGAAAGAGGGCTACAAAAACATAACTAGTAGGGTGTGCGACCTTATTTGTAGTGGAACTGATGCATCAACCTAGTTCCATGGTACTGGCTGTGATTCCTAATGAGTTCTCAAGGTGCTCATCAGTGATTTTTGGATGAAATTTTATTCTTCCTGTGCTTCATCCTTAATAATTTTTCACTGATGTATCTACTGCCAAAAAAAGTGGTGCCGTGAATAAGATGTGACTGTGAAGTGAGGGATATTTTTTCTTGTAAGAGAGGTCTCAAAGTCTGGTAAGGAGTCATATTTGAGCTGAATATCTGATGTCAGCTCTGTACATGCAATTCGAAAATTTGCAGATAATGTATTTATGTTGAAATAGGCTGAAAATAGAGTTGCAAATTTACCAAAAAAAGATGATTTTTTTTTTTTTTTCAGCAATCTCGTAACCTATTTTCAAATTCCTTTATCAAAATGGAAAGCAAGGCTGTATATTCTTCTCTTTTCACAGGGCTGTTCAGCAAGTGTGTTAAAATACATACAGTTATTTCCTGTATTTTGAATTATGCCCTTGCCATGCTGTGGTTTCAGCCCAGACAGCATTAATAGGGGAAAGTCATGGAGCAGATCACTTTGAGTATGATTATGCATTATGTGTGGAACAGTCAGGAGACCAGGCCAACAGGGGTTCATGAAAGGCACGTCATGCTTGACCAACCTATGATCTTCTATGACCCAGTGACCCATGTAGTGGGTGAGGGAAAAGCCATGGATGTGATTTGCCTAGTAGAACCTTTGACTGTTTCCCACAACTTTCTCCTGGAGAAGCTGGCAGCCCATGGCTTGGACAGGTCTACTCTTTGCTGGGCAAAAAGCTGGCAGGTCCAGGGAGTGGTGGTGAGTGGAGTTAAATCCAGCTGGTGGATGTACACTTGTGGTGCTGGTCCTCAGGGGTCAGTACTGGGGCCAGCGTTGTTCATTATCTTTATTGATGATCTGGATGAGGGGATGGAGTGTATGCTCAGTAAGTTTGCAGATGACTCCAAGCTGTCATCTGGGAGGAACTGTTGATCTGTCTGAGGGTAGGAAGGCCCTCCAGAGAGATCTGTATAGGCTTGATCAATGGATTGAGGTGAAGGGGA